CCCCCCAATCCCTGTGTCCTGCGTATCTTGATGCCAAGAAGAGGAATTGGAGGTTTAAAGTAACCCAGCAATTCGCAGAGTGTCCTCCAGCTTCTCTCCTTTGTGCCTCCAGAATGGCTCCTTTACACCCGCAGATTCACTTGGGTGGTTTTGTTGGGCGCCATTGGCGGTTTGTGCGCCTTGGAGGGGCTTCTGAGCCATCTGCTTTCCCCCTTCCCCAAAAAGCTGGAGGTCACTTCGGAAACCCAGAGCTTCTTCGCAGTGAGCGTTTTTAATGCTTCACCTGTGTGGGATTTTCAAAGCAGATTGTGATCTCTGTTGGGTGTTGGGTTGACTGAGGAGAGGCTGATTACCAGTCCCCGTCTGTACGATTGGGGCGTAACTCGGCTCTGGTCTGTGCCTCTTTTGGTAATGCTGTGGGGTTTTTTTCGTTTTGTTTTGCTGCGCGAGGGATTCTGAAGATCGCAAAGTAGTGCGGCGAAGGGGAAAGTCAAGCGGTGCGGGCGGGCATGGGGAGAGAGGGAGGTTTGGTTGGGGAGCGCCGGAGTCGGGATGCGGCCGTCGCCGCCGCCGCTAGAGGCCGCGCGGGAAGCGCCGCCGCCGGGTAACGCGCAACCGGGCGGCAGAACAAAAAGGCAGCGCCGGCCTCGGCTCGGGGCTCCGCGCCTGACTGCGGGGGGGACGGGACTCAGGGTTGTAGTCTTCCTCACCGCATCTATCTAAGTGTTTATTATTCCCCCCTCCCCCGCCATTCTACGTAGTAAATTTACCAGATTTGCAGAGCTTGGCAACTTTCTTTGTCACTTTTTGGTGGCTTTCATATACAAAGAATAAGTGGTTCTTTATGAAACCTCGCTGCTTAGGAGGAAGGCTTCAGATTTGGGTTTTTTTTCTGAGCTTCTGAAATTACCAGCCTCATGAAAGACACTAAGAGTTTGTATGGCCTGTTATCATTAGTAAACTGGTCTGTTCTAAACCTTGACATGTAATTTTTCAATTTTAATTGTAATTTTTTAACTCTTACCATGTCTTGGCTGTAGGGCTACCATCTAATTTTACTTCTGGTTCATTGTACATTCCAGTCTCAACAGCTGTTCTGCTTTTTCTGATGCTTCTTCATGTTAAAAAAGTTACTTCTAGAAGCGATCAATGCACATAATGCTTTGGAAGGAGGGAAGGTGTTGTGTTGGAAGGGAGTGAGAAAGGATGTTGTGTACTGAAGCTGGTTGGAAAAAATTATTGCAGCTTTGTGTGGCTGCTTATGAAAAAATGAGAATACCGCCAAGAACAGCTCTATAGCTAGGATTCAGTAAACCTCAATAAGGAGTTGCCAGCTGGTTTGTGAGTTACACTGATGTCTTGCACAAAAGCATCCTAGTAGACGGCACATTGTCCTTCTTCAACTGTGGTGGTGGTACAGTCTTTTCTCCAGCACGTGACTGGAGTTAAAAAGTGTATCCTGTTGCACGTGATAGGCCATGCTGTTGTGCGAGGGAATGTATTCGATGCTTAGTACTGCAAAGTTAGCTCTAGCCACCAAACTCCTCAGCCACAATTTGCGAAATGAAGGTGATGATGAGATGTTATTAGGTAGTTAAAATAAATAACTTGTTCTAATGAAAGACTGTCTTAATTAGAGTATGTAAGAAATTTGCTTTATTGTTTTATTGCCTTTTTTAATGCCTGCCCCCCCCCCCCCCCCAATCCCTGTGTCCTGCGTATCTTGATGCCAAGAAGAGGAATTGGAGGTTTAAAGTAACCCAGCAATTCGCAGAGTGTCCTCCAGCTTCTCTCCTTTGTGCCTCCAGAATGGCTCCTTTACACCCGCAGATTCACTTGGGTGGTTTTGTTGGGCGCCATTGGCGGTTTGTGCGCCTTGGAGGGGCTTCTGAGCCATCTGCTTTCCCCCTTCCCCAAAAAGCTGGAGGTCACTTCGGAAACCCAGAGCTTCTTCGCAGTGAGCGTTTTTAATGCTTCACCTGTGTGGGATTTTCAAAGCAGATTGTGATCTCTGTTGGGTGTTGGGTTGACTGAGGAGAGGCTGATTACCAGTCCCCGTCTGTACGATTGGGGCGTAACTCGGCTCTGGTCTGTGCCTCTTTTGGTAATGCTGTGGGTTTTTTTTCGTTTTGTTTTGCTGCGCGAGGGATTCTGAAGATCGCAAAGTAGTGCGGCGAAGGGGAAAGTCAAGCGGTGCGGGCGGGCATGGGGAGAGAGGGAGGTTTGGTTTGGGAGCGCCGGAGTCGGGATGCGGCCGTCGCCGCCGCCGCTAGAGGCCGCGCGGGAAGAGCCGCCGCCGGGTAACGCGCAACCGGGCGGCAGAACAAAAAGGCAGCGCCGGCCTCGGCTCGGGGCTCCGCGCCTGACTGCGGGGGGGACGGGACTCAGGGTTGTAGTCTTCCTCACCGCATCTATCTAAGTGTTTATTATTCCCCCCTCCCCCGCCATTCTACGTAGTAAATTTACCAGATTTGCAGAGCTTGGCAACTTTCTTTGTCACTTTTTGGTGGCTTTCATATACAAAGAATAAGTGGTTCTTTATGAAACCTCGCTGCTTAGGAGGAAGGCTTCAGATTTGGTTTTTTTTTCTGAGCTTCTGAAATTACCAGCCTCATGAAAGACACTAAGAGTTTGTATGGCCTGTTATCATTAGTAAACTGGTCTGTTCTAAACCTTGACATGTAATTTTTCAATTTTAATTGTAATTTTTTAACTCTTACCATGTCTTGGCTGTAGGGCTACCATCTAATTTTACTTCTGGTTCATTGTACATTCCAGTCTCAACAGCTGTTCTGCTTTTTCTGATGCTTCTTCATGTTAAAAAAGTTACTTCTAGAAGCGATCAATGCACATAATGCTTTGGAAGGAGGGAAGGTGTTGTGTTGGAAGGGAGTGAGAAAGGATGTTGTGTACTGAAGCTGGTTGGAAAAAATTATTGCAGCTTTGTGTGGCTGCTTATGAAAAAATGAGAATACCACCAAGAACAGCTCTATAGCTAGGATTCAGTAAACCTCAATAAGGAGTTGCCAGCTGGTTTGTGAGTTACACTGATGTCTTGCACAAAAGCATCCTAGTAGACGGCACATTGTCCTTCTTCAACTGTGGTGGTGGTACAGTCTTTTCTCCAGCACGTGACTGGAGTTAAAAAGTGTATCCTGTTGCACGTGATAGGCCATGCTGTTGTGCGAGGGAATGTATTCGATGCTTAGTACTGCAAAGTTAGCTCTAGCCACCAAACTCCTCAGCCACAATTTGCGAAATGAAGGTGATGATGAGATGTTATTAGGTAGTTAAAATAAATAACTTGTTCTAATGAAAGACTGTCTTAATTAGAGTATGTAAGAAATTTGCTTTATTGTTTTATTGTTACTAATCCTCTTTGACCCCAGATACGTGATTGCATTCTACTGTTGCTTAACCTGGAATAATAAGCTAAGAGGGATTTGCATCGGCAAGAATGTACAAATGCCAGTGAAAAAGTGAAAGCAAGTTAGTCTTCTACAAAGCTTGCTCAAGTGTATGGAGGGATGTGGGACCAAAACTGGTACAACCTCTTTCAGATTTTTGTTGGCTTTTTTTGCTTTCTTTCTTTTTTTTTTTTTTTTGGATCCAGCAGCATTTTGAATAATTGAATAATTTTGCATTGCTACAGTAGCTTTCGTTTTGGTTTTGAGGACTATGTGCAGAATTACTGAAGTTCTGTTGTTTTGTGTTGGAGTTTGCAACCGATTGATACCCTCTGCAACAAAAGCAGAATGAGGAGTTCTGTGAAGAATCTTTATCAAGTATTGTTACTAGTGGAAAAGCCACTGTTTGTGGAGAACTATTTCCTTTTTCTGGAAGATGTGTACATCACCAATAACAATGAACTCAACATAGCTGTGGAAAGGGATTGAAATTTGAAGTTCAGAAGAGTTCAAAAGACTAGCCAGCTGCCCCTTCTGAGAAGTTTGAAGTAATACTTGCCTCATGAGGCTCTCAAAGCCCTGTATGCCAGAGGAGTTTTATTGTCTGCTGAAATTGTTGAGTTTAACTCAACAGTTGAAAGGGCTGTTTTTTTCAACTTCTTTTTAATTTTAACTTCGTTTTAGTGATTTAATCTTAACTAGGTGAATGCTCAGGAAAATAATGGTTTCTGAGAGGTTAGAGTTCAGAGAAAACTTAGCTTTTCTTCCATACTTGTAGCCTACCCTATGTGCTGCTGGCAAGTATGGCTGCCAGTAGATGCTAAATTGGTATATGAATGGTCTGTTCCATTTAGATGTTAGTATTAAAATTCTTCATTTTGGACCAAGACTTGTAAGTTTGTCATGTAGTGTTTTGTACTTACAAGAAATTTTATATAGAAGGGAGCAGTGTGAGACTGGTGGGATGCAGTTGCATGTTATGTCCTCTTCAGTTAACAACTTGACTATATTGATTTTATATCGTAGTTTTCCGGCTGCACAATGTTGCCCGTGCCGCTTGCATTGGTGTACAGGCACTTCAGTTGGGTCATTGATCCTGCTGCCTTTTTTTGGGAAAGAAGCCCTAATTCCAATGTGACTGTTCTCAGGTGCTTCTCTGGTTTCTACTGCATCAACAAGCCTTGCATCTTTGTGGATCTTCATTTCTTACCCCCACTGAAATGGCTAAGGAGTATTCATTGCTGCTCTGATTTGTCTTGGCTGAATATGAGCCAGCGGTGTGCCCAGGTGGCCAAGGTGGCCGACAGCATCCTGGCTTGTGTCAAGGATAGTGTGGCCGGCAGGACTAGGGAAGCAATCGTATCTCTGTACTCAGCACTGGTGAGGCCCCACCTTGAATACTGTGTTCAGTTTTGGGCCGTTCATGACAAGAAAGACATTGAGGTGCTGGAGCATGTGCAAAGAAGAGCAACGAAGTTGGTGAGAGGTGTAGAGCACAAGTCCTGTGAGGAGCAGCTGAAGGAAATGGGGTTGTTTAGCCTGGAGAAAGGGAGGCTGAGGGGAGACCTCATCGCTCTCTACAGCTATCTGAAAGCGAGGTGGGTGTCAGTCTCTTCTCCCAAGTAAAAAGTGATAGGACAAGAGGAAATGGCCTCAAGTTGTGCCGGGGAGGTTTAGATTGGATATTAGGAAAACTTTCTTCACTGAAAGGGTTATCAAGCATGGGAACAGCCCTCCCAGGGAAGTAGTTGAATCAC